GGGATAGTCTGGCTGGGGGGATCCCCCCACCTGCCCGTGGTCAAGGCTAGTGCTGGCAGCCCATCACAAACCTTCGTAGAATCACAGAGCAGTTTGGGTTGGAAGGGACATTTAAAGGCCATCTAGTCCAAACCCCTGCAATGAGCAGGGACATCTTCAACTAGATCAAGTTGCTCAGAGCCCCGTCCAACCTGGCCTTGAACACCTCCAGGGAAGGGGCATCTACCACCTCTCTGGGCAACCTGGGCCAGTGTTTCACCCTCCTCAGTGTAAAAAATGTCTTCCTTATATCTAGTCTAAATCTACCCTCTTTCAGTTTAAAACCACTACTCCGTGCCTGATCACAACAGGCCCTGCTAAAAAGTTTGTCTCCGTATTCCTCATAAGTAATTTCTTATCAGTAAAGCCCTTTAAGTACTGAAAGGCCACAATAAGGTCTCCCTGGAGTCTTCTCTTCTCCAGGCTGAACCAGCCCATCTCTCTCAGCCTGTCCTCACAGAGAGGTGCTCCAGCCCTCTGAGCATTTTTGTGACCTCCTCTGGACTCGCTCCAACAGGTCCATGTCCTTCCTGTGCTGAGGGCTCCAGAACTAGACACAGTACTTCAGGTGGGGTCTCACCAGAGCAGAGCAGAGGGGCAGTCACCTCCCTTGACCTGCTGGCCACGCTGCTTTTGATGCAGCCCAGGATGCAGTTGACTTTCTGGGCTGTGAGTGCACGTTATCAACTTGATGTCCAGCTTTTCATTCACCAGTAGCTCCAATTCCTTCTTGGCAGGACTGCTCTCACCCTTCATCCACAGCCTGGATTGATACTGGGGGTTGCCCTGACCCAGATTCAGGATGTCCCAGTTGGCCTTGTTGAACCTTATGAGGTTCACATAGGCCCAGTTCTCCAGCTTGCTCAGGTCCCTCTGGGTGGCATCCCATCCCTCGGGGGTGTCAACCCGTGTTTTATGTGGTTGCACGTTAAAATTGCTCACCTCTTCTCCCAGGTGAAGGCAAGTTAAATATACAGAAAGACACCGACACTGCCCAGCCACCCCAGGAGAGAGCTTTTTCCTCGGGATTCAGTGCTCGGGTGGGGCCGCAGGAATCCCCAGGGGAGAACCGGGACTTTGTAATGAATTATACAAACCAACCCACCCCTTTCCCCCCCCGGACTCCTTCCTGCCCGTTCCCCACAGGTGAGGGACTCCACCTCCCACCTCCAGCCGCCGGGGCCGGGGTGCGGGCGGGGCGCGCCCAGGTGCGCCGGGACGGGCGGAGCCTCCGCACTTCTCCCGCGTCGCTGCGGAGCCGGCGGAGGGCAGTACGCGCGGAGCTGGGGACGCGGGGCGGAGGGGACACGTGGGGATGCGTGGAGGGGCGCGGCGATGGGCGGAGGGGAGGGCGCGTTATGTCCTGCGGCTCCCCCCCCAATACGCGCTGCCGCGACTCCTGCATATGTCACACTTTGCTCCGCCGTGACGTCACGCGGTGGCTTTCCCAGGAGCGTGGCGTCGGGGAGGCTCCTGCGCTGCTTCCCCCGCGGCTGCCGCCGTGTCTGAACCCTCTTTTCGGCGCCTTTTGGCGGATTTTTGCGCCGGGGAAGGGTCCCCCGCTGCTTCCCGGCACATCCCGTTCCGGCCCCGGCGGGCAGGCGTTGGCCGAAGCGGGCTTGGTGTATCCCGGGTGATGGAGAAAGGTATTTCGTGCCCCTGCCAGGTGTGAGCCGACCTGGGAGCGCAGTAAAAAATGGTCAAATTGCGTGTCCAACCAAAGCAAATACTTGTCCGGGTGACTCAGGGCCAGTAAGTTCGGTGGCAGGTTGCAAAGCGAAGCTGGCTGTGGCTAACGAACCAAATGGCAGCGAGTTAAACTTGCTACAGGGAGTGTGTGGTACCAGGCTGGCTCACCCACCTCCCTCAGATGGAGAATATTTAGGTATTTGAGAAAATGTTGTTCAGATTTAGCTGAATTGTAAAAATACTTTAGGGGTGAACGGCAGCTGGGTCACCCAGCTGAACTCCAGTGGGTTTCCTGTTGCTATCAACCTTGAGTCAGAGCGTTACCGTCGGCAAGGAGGGGTTCTGCTGACAGGTTTGTGTTTGTTGACGTTTGGCAGTGGGAGGTGAAACTAGCTGAGCTACAGAAACTGGGTGCTGAGCAAGACAGGCGGCCCCAGAGATTCGTCACCTTCCGCAGTCCTTCCAGGTAATCTTCAGACCGGTCACAGTGGGCAAATAAAGTCAGAGTAATTCCTGGATCAGCCTCCTCTTCCCAGCTGTCAGGTCATCCTTTGATCGGTGGAGTGACGTACCATTTCCCATGCCAGTGGAACAAATGACACAATTTCTTTTTTTTTTTTAAACTAGAAAAAGCTTTTTGGCACAATAAACGGAGATCACAACCATTCAAATTGGCTCTTCTCACCTGGCAGACGGAAAAGGCAAAAAACCTGATGTCTCTTTGCAAAAATGAGCAAAGATGACACTTCACAAAGGGCAGAAACATCCTGTGGCAGTCACTGAGTGACTTGCCTCAGACGACGTGATTAAATTTTCATTATTTGATGTCGTAAAGTCTGCTGGGGAATGGAAAACTTACCATTTGGTAGAAAAAGCAGTAGTAGTGTGGTATGGAAGGGAATAAGCCTGCTGGTCATCTCCACCTCAATGGAAGGACACCGTTCACAATGAAAGTACACCAAAAAGGGGAGCAGTGTATGGTTTCCTTCCCTTCAGAAGCCCAACACACTGATAAAAACCTGCCTTTACCATTGCAGGTAGCTCAAAGACCATACTTATCAAGACTTTTTGTCTTGGTGCTTTCTTTTAATTAAAGGCAAGAACTCTTGCTGCTTCCCACGTAAAGCCTGTAGGAGCTGCGTGGTGACGGTACAACTCCTGCCTGTCTGGTTTAGCATCATTTAGAGGCATCGAGAGCTGAGGGATTTTCATTCATGGGCAGCATCTCCGCTTTTTTGCCTTGCTCTGATGTTGTGTTAGCTGAGAGAAACGTTTATGCTTCAAGGACTTCTCTGTAATTTTCTGTTGTAATTTAATCTTTAATAATTGTGTCAAAACTGAAGTGCTGGCAAAATTTTCTTCTTCTAAGACTGTGCTGACACTTTAGGGTTTTAAAATACTTTCAGATACAGATGCAAATCCCATTTCTTTTGCATTATCCAATTGCAACTTCTAGTAATGATAAGATGGGAGAATACTGCCTGTTCCTCCACATTATGCAAAAGTAGTTCTGTGTAGTTGTAAATTCTTTTAAGATTTTAATCTTCGGCTGCAGAGTATGGACATCACCATCTTGGGGGGCCGTTTTCACAAAGCCTGGCTGAGCAATTCAGAAGCAACTCCTGTTATATAGAAACTCTCTTGGCAAACAAGGAAATGCGGTTGCGCAGACTGAAAACAGAATTGGAACTTCCTGCAGTGTGTTTGTTGTCCAGTACGGCATGGGAAAACTGGGAGCAGATACTCATTCTGGTTCCTTGCTTGTAAAGAGTGGTATCTCCCTGTGTTGGTATCAGCAGTGTCAGTTGCAAGTGAAGATATGCTGTCAGATTTCATACTGTTTTTTTAATACTTTTGGTATTTTCAATATCCCTTCCTGAACAGTGCTAGGTGAATTATCCAAGGCTGCTTATTGTTAATTGTGCAGTGAAGTGCTTTTGACAGAACATTAATATTTCCAGAGCTTAGGTGTGAACAGACACAGAGGAACATCCTTTTCTACCATGTGTTTTGGTAGCCTCCGAGTGTTTTTTTCAGTTGGGGGAAAAAAAAAGTGTATTACTGATGGTGCCACTCAGGATGAATCATTCATGTGTCATTTTAATTACAGGGGAAGCACAGAAAGCAAAATTGTTTGTTGCATCCAGTGCTTTATATGAATCACAATGGACTGAGCTTCTGTACTTCTGCATCAGGTGCTTCGGATTATAACATGTCTTCACAATAAAACCTTTTTTTCCAAAGAGGTTGTCCTCAAAAGCTGTTCCAGACTAGATTCTCCGACCCACCGCATTCTACCATGAGAAACTGTGAAACTGTCAGGCACTGCTGCCTGACCCCTCTGTGCCCATGAAAAATAGCAACTCCCTTTTGTTCTTGGAAATTCAATACCTCTTTTTCCTTTATAAAACAGATGTAGGCTGATGGCAATGGCCTCGCTCCCACAGGCTGTCGTAGTAGTGATGCTGATAGGGCTTGGCTGGTGGAGAGGGTGAAGCTTCACTTTGAGCAACCTGCTCTAGCGGGAGGTGTCCCTGCCTGTGGCAAAGGGGTTGGAACTCAATGATCTTTAAGGTCCCTTCCAACCCAAACCATTCTATGATTCTGTGGTTCGGTCTTAGCTCAGGCTCACCCAGCTCTGCAGCTCACGCAGTAGTCACTGAACAATTTTAATAACATGTATTAGTGCTCACATGCAGCAAGGGTTTGCTCTCTATATAGATATTCTCTTTTTCTCTTTTTTTGTGCTGTTTCCTAATCTCAGCTGCAAATGTAAAAGCAGAAGCCTGGAATAACAGCAGGTTCACCCTAGCAGGCAAAGTCTGAAATAATGGATTTGGCTCTATGTTTGTGTTTTGGAGGCGTGGTCTCTGCACAGCACAAAAGAAGCCTTTCTTTGTGAGATTTCAGGTTAGCGTTTAGGATTCAATTTGAGTTTTACATTGAAGATAATATTTTAGTGCAGCATTCCTTGGTATTGCCCTAATCGCCCTACTGAGCCCCTGTAATGTGAAATAGATATATAAAATAAGGTACGCACCTGTGATTGCAGGGGTGGGTAATGACCTGGGGAAGCATCGTGCATGTCATATGGATTTTGTGAGTTATTTGCACTGTCAGAAATGACACGTGCTCTGAGAAGACACGGAAAGGAGTAAGCAGAGCGAGGACAGGTCTCCTCCAGAGCTGTGCCTGGTTCATGAATCACTTGTCCTTCTTTTTCCCCTCCCAGGGGCCGTGCTCTCTTTTGCTTGCCATGACTCCTGCCAAGCATGGTGCCAGATCATCAACGTCTCTGAATCCCGCTCTTCTCTCCTCGCCTCGATGGACGGGACTCTCAATGAAACAAACTGGAGCATTTCCACCTCTGCTGGAAGCAAATACCGCCTCTACATTGGCTTGGCTTTGGCCATAAGTTCCAGTATCTTTATTGGTTCTAGTTTCATACTGAAGAAGAAAGGACTTTTGAAACTGGCAGACAAGGGAGTCCCCCGAGCTGGTAAGTGGTGCCGGGGGATGCCTTGCTCCTGCTGGGGGGCACAAATGCCTCTTAGAACTTGGCAAAATCAAGGGTCGAGTCATGGATCACACGTTTAAAACCGTTGCAGTTGAAAACTGTTGTGCTTTAGCAGTGATCAGAAGTCCTGTCCTGGCTGGGGATGGAAATACGGTATTATTTCTCTGTGTGTGATTAGAGGGACTGGGATTTCAGAACTCCTAGGGCTATGGGGGCAGAGATGGGTATTAAATCTAGTGAGTGGATGATATTTCCTCCCTGACAGCAGCTAGATACCAAATAAAATTCTCCATTCATCATACCCTTCTCTCTCTTTTTTTTTTTTTGTCTTTTTTCCCCCTCATTTGAGATGGAAAGGCTTAAGATGGTAGCTAGGTTTAGGGTTTGGGTTTTGTTTTTTTAAAAAAGGGAAGTGCAATGACCTGTAGAAAGGATACTTATTACAAAAGTTTCTGGAGTTAAGAATCTTTCATCAAAGTCAACAGATGAAGAGCTGGAAAAATACCAATTGGACTAATTTCATTGCTCCTTTTCCATGGATTTAAATACATAGCATTAGAAGTTTTCCTTTGTTTGTTGTGTTTATTGCAATATACTGTTTCAGAGAATTCAGTTATTTGAAACCAATGTGTTAGTGCATGTTCAATATACTTATGTTTTATGTAAAAGAAAACCCAACAAACTAATGCATGCAGTGGCATTTTTCTTTCTAATTTTCCTTGATTATAATATAAGAGAATTATATATAACTTATATATAAGAGAATATTATATAATAGAATATTGTAGTATAAGCAGAGTCAAAATGCAGCTGTCTCTGTATGAATATATTTGGTCTGACCTGGGGAAGCACTTTGAAGCATTTTTTAAGCTCGTCAGCAATATTTGTGGACATTTTACTTTTTGCTTGGAACTTTCCCTTTAGTCAAATACCATTTTTCAGAAGCCCAAGCCACAAAGCAATAGAGTGATTAATAAAAATGTCAGTCAAAATCAAATAAAATATTCTTTAGGTTGCATCCAGATAACATGCTCTTCCAATACTTTATATGACTAGAGGCAAATGTGAAGCTGTAGTTTAGTTTATTATAATAAAGTGATCTCTTTCTTCTAAGATGAGATTATTTTTTCTGCTTTCAGGACAGGGTGGATATTCTTACTTGAAGGAATGGCTGTGGTGGGCTGGATTGCTTTCAAGTAAGTCACCTCTTTCCTCTCAACCTATATGTAAATGTTGCATAAAGCAGATTGTTTTAAATAGATAGATATATTCCCCGATTTTTCACTCCTCTCACTTAAAAGAAATGCCTTTGCAGTCAACTTTACAACAGAAGGCATTCTAATATCCCATCTCTCAAATACTGTGTTTGGTCCTTGCAGAATAACAACCTTTTCTTTAATATCCAGTCAAAAGCGATGGGATTGAATCTGCCCAGCATCTAGGAGTACTTAGGGGAAAAGTATTTAACTTTCTTCAGCCTTTACTACATCCAGAGGGGGTTAGGTAATTTTAAAAGGAAAATTTGCATATGTAGTGTAGAAAAAAGCTTTTGTTTTATATTTGCCATCACACAAAATATTTATATTTATATTCCTTTTATTTGTCCCTGTCACCTCAACCTGATCCAAATGTTCTTTCCTCTGCAGTGGGATTAGGAGAAGCTGTGAACTTCGCTGCCTACGCCTTCGCACCTGCAACCTTAGTTACCCCCTTGGGTGCACTGAGTGTTCTGATAAGGTTAGTACAAACTGGGAGCAAACTTCAGCAAATGAACCATTCGCTGAGTGAAGGAAAAATACTGTCTTTGGCCGAAAGTTGAGAATTTTAATAAGAAAACTGAAAATGGACAAAAAAATGCTGCTTGTTCCTTGGTGGAAAGGTCCCTTTCTTGCTTTGAACTGAACTTTCTGGGTAGAGGGAATGAGAATTCTTATTCTAAAGACCAATATGTTTTCCCAACACTTTTCCACCCATATTATAAAGTATTTCTTGTCAGCATATAGCAGGTATACTGCTGATACACAGTGGTAGAAGGCTGTAATTCATCTCTTCCTAGAGAACTGAAGCTTTCTTCAAAAGTCTTATTCTGCTCTTCAGTTGTGAAAAAACTTCAAAAGAGAATACAGTATTTACCCATTAAAATATTTTCAAAACTATTCCTTTTTTATAGGAGCATGATTTCATATTAAGGCACGCTTAGTAAGCATTTTGGGTTTGTTTTGTCTTTTCCAACCCTTTCTGGAAAGAAGGCAAAGAGAAATTTAGCTTTTTAAATATCCACAGTTAAAACATGTGGTTGTTTTGAAATACAAATGCCCTTCAAACACTCATTATTTCGAGTGTATGAAGAAACAAATAATTTCCAAGTACTTAAGCACATACATTAAATATGGCTATCACAGAAGCAGAAAAGATATGGATTGTGCTCACAATGAATGTTCAGAGAAATAATTTAGTAGCAAAATGGAATCACTGTATTTTAAATGTAAAACTCGAGTCTTAAGAGTATAGTATATGGAACATTGTGTTTAAAACCAACATGGGCCATGTTCTTATTTATTTTTTTAAAAAGATGCTTGCAGTAATCTAATGGCTAAAACTGCAGCTGTTCTGTCATAGCAAAACCAGTGTAACTGTCACCTACAGATGTGCTGGGACCAGAGTGTAGGTAGGTGCAGACTGGCTGGCTGGCTGCTGCTTCGTAAAACAGCCTGAGTTTTGATCCACATCTCCTTTGATGTGGATACCAATCTTTCCAATTTTTGTGAAACAGAGAGGTTGTGAGACCTTTGTGTCAGTAAGTTCATTACCCTTGTGCGAAAAAATAACCATAATTTGATCAGTGGGTTGAAAAGCTGTTTGTGAGCACAGCTACATGCCGTTAAGCCTGTGTCTGTACCTAAGGTTGTGCCTTTTGAGGTAGCCTCGTTTGGGCCATGTTGTTACCCTTAGGTTAAATCTTGAACCCCTTGGACAGCCTGGGGTGAGCCCTCTTCAAAGGGTGAGACGTGTCTTCTCTGTGTTCTGGGGGGAGTCCTGGCAAAGCAGGCAGAAACTCTGCCTGGATGGGAGAGCCTGAGGAGGGATGAGGAAGTTTCCAAAACTTGTGTGCATTGGTTGTAATAGCAAATTAAGTGCTTTAAACCCGTTTTGGAAGAACGTTACAGCTTGTGTGGTCAATCTATAGGTGTGTGAGGGTGTGTGCCCCTGACCCAAGCAGTCAGTAATGAGAAGTTCCTTGAGCAATTTGGACCCTTTACAACCTGGAGGGGAGGGATCAGCGTTGCTAACCCCCACTAAAACCTGACCTGACCTTCTTGCAAAACTTAAAATTTGATTGTTTCAGGCTGGTTTCCCATATATCCAAATTCAAAAAAGCTTTTGAATTAGTGTCATGGTACACAGACAGATTTTGACTGTCTCGCATGCCTGGTGGAGACTGAACCTTTTATTTTTGTTTTTCCAAACAGTGCTATATTGTCATCTTACTTTTTAAATGAGAAGCTGAATATTCATGGAAAGCTGGGCTGTGTGCTGAGCATTTTGGGGTCGACGGTCATGGTTATTCACGCCCCTGAGGAGGAGGAGGTCACATCACTAGACGAGATGGAAAGAAAGCTACAAGATCCAGGTCTGTGTGCAATTGCAATGAACTCGTGCTACAGTTCATAGCGAAGCATTTGGGACACTGAATAACTTTTAGCATGTACTTGGATGCAGTCTGGTGTTTTCTCTCACTTGTGTTGTCCTCTTCCCTTTCCTCTTCCTTACAGCGTTTGTTACGTTTGCTGTCCTCATAACAGTTGTGGTCCTCACGCTGATTTTTATCGTGGCTCCAAGGAAAGGTCAGACGAATATACTGATCTACATTTTGATTTGCTCACTCATTGGTGCCTTCTCTGTCTCGTCTGTGAAGGGCCTGGGCATTGCTATTAAACAAATGTTGGAGTGGAAGCCAGTTTATCGACATCCATTGGTTTATGTTTTGGTGGGCATCTTGGTGCTCTCAGTCAGCACTCAGATCAACTATCTCAACAAAGCATTGGATGTGTTCAGTACATCTCTAGTGACACCTATTTATTACGTGTGTTTCACCACGACAGTTGTGACATGCTCCATCATCCTGTTCAAGGAGTGGAGTAGTATGGACCTGGGTGACATCATTGGAACCCTCAGTGGATTCTGCAGTATCATCATAGGCATTTTTCTACTGCATGCTTTCAAAAATACTGATATCACCTGGAGTCAGTTGATGTCTGCTGTTGCCAAAGAACCATCGCTGCCATGCCGTGAATCCGAAACCTGTCACACTTTACTGGAGAGCATGGAGGAGCCAGCTTCGGCATATGAGGACAACATTTCATTCAGTCCATGAAACTTTAAAGTGGTGCTCATCATCAAAGTATCGTGACTTCCAGGCTCAGCCCACCTGTGTCCACCAAAATGCTCTTCTTTTCTGCAGACAACTGTCTCTGGACAACTGTCTGTAAGGCCAGTTAAGTGTGGGTCATTCCTCTGTGCCAGGTGTTGGTAGTAATGAATGAAAATGTCCAATAATTAACATGACAGACAGGAACCTGATGGTGATTGTATGTCAGGCAATGAAAAACCTCGTCCTTTTTTTATGCAGCATCTCCTACTGGACAATTTTAGGAGAAAATATTGGTGTTTGTAAGCTATGTTTACAAAGGGCAGTTTTCCCATTATGATAAAAGATAATCCTTACTGAAGTGACAAGCGATCTGCTCTATCTTAGCGATGGCCTTAATATTTCAGGCTTTCTTTATATTATTATAATGTATTGCCATCAGACTTGTAGACAGTCTACCTGAAGGATACTCATTGGAGATATAATATGAAGAAAATATTTTTAAACCTTTTAGCTTTCCATATAAAATTTTGTGCAAGTTATTTTTCATTTTTCATGACCTACCAATGAGCCTTGAATAGAAGTCACCAAAAAATTCATGAAATGTGGTTCTTGGTAACCGTTCTCCTTCAAAATCCACTTTTTAACAGCAAAGTCTTAGCTCTTTTGCCTTAGGAGACCTGAATGGATTGCAAATCCCTGGATGTGCATATGCCTTTCTATTTCAAAATTATTACCAAGTTACATTTTAAGACAAAGCAAATTCATTAGAGGCCTGAACACAGTTGCTGTTGGCTTAAAAAAATTTCATAAGATAAAAGAATAGATTATTTGAAGGCAGAAGAAAAACGGAATGTGCATTTAAGAATTTCCACTCTGTTTTATACTACTTTGAGGCTTAGAAAGGGCTTTACTTATTTCCATGCTTCTTTCTAATATTGCCGTCTGTCTATTCATCAAAACCCAGTTAAGCTTTTCAAATTTTTTTCTCATTTTCCAAAAAGATATCATTGTCTCTTAATAGCAAAACAGTTCCGTTATTTTATATTCCTTTATAAAAGCAAAATCCATTTTCCAATCTATGCGCTATTTCTAGAAATGCTAGGCAAAGGAAGGGCTGCAGACAAGGGGTGAGAAACATCAAAACATCTTTTATTGTAGTTTCGCCTTTTCATCTCTTCTAAAAATGAATATTCACTTCTATTAGATGTTTTAGCTATTAATCTACCATAGGCCTTGAAGATTAATATCTGTACCACAGTGTGCACCTCAGTTGTGGTCACTGATCTTTATCTCACAAAAACAGCTTGCACAGTCCATGGTTTACTCATTACAATCCCCTTTGTTGGCACTTTGTGAGCAAGAACATAGCTTCAGCAGTCCCACGTGTGGGTCATGACGGGCTCATCAGAAAGGTAATATTTCCAATTCTTGGTTTTCTAAGTGTGAGTCCAGAACCTTTGCCAGAGGATGCTGGCAATTCAGCAATTGAAATTTTATCGGGCTCATCAGAAAGGTAATATTTCCAATTTTTGGTTTTCTAAGTGTGAGTCTAGAACCTTTGCAGAGGATGCTGGCAATTCAGCAATTAAAATTTTATTTAATCAGCTGAGATTTATATGCCAAGCAGAGGCTCCTCATAAATCAGGCTGTATATTCTCTAATGTGCAAAAGGTGTAGTAAAAGTGGATGCTTTGGATGGATAGTGAAAGAAAGATGGTTCCGTGAAGGAAAGCTCATAATTTTCTCACAGCTCTTAGCTGTAAGAACAAATGTGTTGTTTTTAATCAGCTGAGATTTATATGCCAAGCAGAGGCTCCTCATAAATCAGGCTGTATATTCTCTAATGTGCAAAAGGTGTAGTAAAAGTGGATGCTTTGGATGGATAGTGAAAGAAAGATGGTTCTGTGAAGGAAAGCTCATAATTTAGCTGTAAGAACAACTACGTTTCTACTGATATTTCATACGTGTTTGTGTTGTGCAAAGTTTACGTACTTAGTTTTTGAAAGATGTTCATGAAACATCTCACTTGTTAATGATTTTTAATGATAGCTTTAGAAGCTATCCAAAATTAGAAAGTAACAGTAGGGTTACTGGCTTAAAGTTATTTGTAAGTGACAAGCACCTTTTTTTTTTTTTTTTTTTTTTTTTTTTTTCCACTTGAATGGGTTAGTAGTGGACATACCTACAGGAGGAAGTAGAAAGTGTATCAATCACTTGCACCTTATTTCTAGATTTTTTTTCTTTTTTTTTTTTTTTTCACTTGGATAGGTTAGTAGTGGACATACCTACAGGAGGAGGTAGAAACTGTATCAGTCACTTGCACCTTATTTCTAAACCCTCATTTTTACAATGAAGCGCATATCTAAAAAAAAGTGCTACGGAAAAGCTTGTCTAGTTGTTCTGCTTGCATTACTCCATAAGATACTGCAGGTAGTCTTGCCAATGTAAAGAGAAGCCCAGAAGATGTCATTAGGTAATTGGTGTTTAGATTATCACCTGTGATTACCCAGTTTGAGAAGCACTTTCAATAGAGCCGGAGGTGGCAGTGCTGTTACCCCAGTGAAAGAGACGTTGTCACAAAATATGTACTTGCTTTGAAAATATAATGACAATGCACACAGCTTGGGAATACTTTTCAGCTTTCCAAGTGATGAGACTTGCAGCAATTCTTTGCTGTTAAAATGTGTGTGTTAGAAGTGCTTCAGGGAGGAAAATATATAAACAGAGTTTCATTACTTTTTAGGTAACGTCAAGAATACTTTGACTTTATCTTCCAGATCCAAGCTACAAAATCTGCACAGTTAAAAGCAGGTAATGCAGATAATAAAAGGACTAAAGCGGGAGTTTTCTTTACAGTTTGCCTTTTAACAAAAAACTTGCATTGCTTTTCACTGTGAATCACTCATACAATTTAAAGAATAACTGAAGAAAATATGGTTTGACCCTAAAAAGAGAAAAAGAGATCCTTTTGCATAGCTGGTAGCCCCTGTATTTACTAATACAGTCATCACTGTGGTGTGACCAAACGGGTTACTTGTATGAAGAAGCAACTAGTCCAATTCTTGAATAGATGCGTGTTGGCATTTGTTTAAGGTAGGTAGTAATACTTTCTTTGAGAAGGGCCTGGACTCTTTTTTTATGAATTCTGGGCTCTTTTTATACCATCTTCTAACACTAAGTAACTTGTACCAATCAAAACCTCTGTGTTTTCTACCGGACCTGCGTGTCTGCTTTTATACATAAATAACATCTACTAGAAAAAGAATGTTTATTTCTTACAATGTCAGAAAACCAAAGTTAATGCTTATTTTTTATGATGTACAGAAAATCTATCATGATAAGAAGTAAATTATTGATTATCTTTTTGTATAAAAACATTTGCTGAAAGAGATATTATTTTTGAAAATGTTTATATTTAGTTATTAATTTGGAATAATTTTGGATTTTAGAGAAATCGTAATAATATTTCTCTCGTAATAAATTATTCATGTAGTATGTACTAAATGATCTGTGTTTTTTAAACAAGGGTTAAAAAGGAGTGTAATTCTTATTTCTGGTAAGTATTTAAATGCTATCTGTTAGATCAAAAGTTTTAGCAGCTGGTCCTATGCACACATAAGTGAATTGGAGGTGAAGAAGGTCTGGCTGATGTCCTTGCAGTTCATGTGCATCTGACCTGTTCATGACCTTCTTTAGCTTTGATTTCTGCTAGTTTTTCTGATAGGAAAGAAAATTTTCTGCTCCCCTAGGAAAGACATGTGTGAAACTACCGTGAACTAAAATGTAATGTTATGATGGAACTGGGGGAAGAGTATGGGAAGATCAAGAGGTTTCAGCTTCTTTTACAAAATTACCCAATTTGTCCAGATCTGTTATTTTTACCCTGGTGTTCTGTAAAAAGCATCAGCAAGGAACATTTGATGCTGATGACTAGTATTCAAAAGACAGATTTTTGAGGGGCAAAAATAATGGGCAAGTGAAAATGCCTTTCCTTCTAAACTTGGGAAGAAAACCCAAAGCTGATGTATTAGGGCTCTCTTTCTCACGGCCAGTCTCAATGGAGGGTATTTCAATGAGTTGTCAGGTTTTCCAGCAGGGAAATTAAATATATTATCTCAAGTAATTTGAAGTGTTTTGGAAAGTAGAGGGAATGATTAGGAACTAGAACAAAGGAAACCTCAGAGGCAATACATTGCTAACCAAATTACAGCTTTTAAATGCTGATACAAAACAAATCGTGGTAGCTAGTCATTACTACTGTAACTCAGGACAAATTAATGGGCCATTAAATTCGTTACATAGCTGTGCTGATTAAATGTAGGTAGGTCAAGAAGATTTGGGTAGGTTATATAACCTGCAGGGAATTTGGAAGGAAGTACATAGGTTACTACTTTCTATAGAAACGTGTTCTACCATCTTCCTTTACCTGCCATCCCAGCCACAATTGAAGCAGCCATGCTATACAAATTTTCTATCCCAAAGTGTACTGATTCAAAACTTTACTCGTCACGGTTGCATCCTGAGACTATATAGGGAATTATAAACTCCTACCAAACACTGTTCTCTTGCTGTTTAAATTCCAGCAAAACAAAGCTGGCGAGTTTGTTAGACAATGTACTCTTTTAGCAGAGTGGGTTTCCTGTAGCTGGCTCCTTTCTGGCAGGTTTTGAAATGGAAGCGAGGGTCAGAACAGGATGGGGAGGGCGGTGTGTAAGGGAGGGGTGGTGGTGGCGTGTGTTTGGGACTCTGCGGAGCCTCCCAGTTTGTGAAACTTTATGGGGTGGGAGGGGGGAAAGTTCATCTGAAAACCCAATGGCCCTGGAGATAAATGTCACCAGACCCGTATGCACAAGTAATTGATCTGCATTGCTCATTGGGAGTACCTTTAACAAGGTAAGTCATGTCACTTTCTGAAAAATACATTTTAGTTTATCAACAATGTGGCTTTTCTCTAGAAAAGTGTATATCCCAAGTGGTTTGTGCACAGAAGTTGGGAACTCTGCCTGTTCTGTTTTCCTCCCTTTCATAATACTGACTTGCTGCAAGTTTTCTGGTGTTGATCAGGAATTATCAGTTGAATTTTTACAAACACTGAGCACTCATATGGCCTTTGACCAGACATTGCCTACATGGAGGTGTGATAGTGTCACTGTCTAATACCTCTTCCAGGTCTCTCCTTGTCACACAGCTAACATATGTGGGTCTGTTTGGTCACACGTGCCTCTTTGTGTTCAGTGATATGGGTGGCAGTCACCGTTCAACAATCTAAGTACTTATTTTTGCCTATTTGAATATGGTTAGAGTTTGAGCTAAGCTCAGAGACACCATGAGGTCTAAGGTGGCCTACTTAGTCTTTATTTATGGGTGTAGCTGTTCTGGTAAGTCACTATGCTGTACACGCCTGACCTTTGTTCTGTAGACCTTTCTCGTTGCTGGTTGAGCACTGACTCTGAAGCCTGTTCTAGTGCTTTTTCATGTCTTTACTGTCATCCTGATGACAGCAGCTGTTAAATTTATCAGCATCAGAGTGCTAAGAACAGCCTATTCATAATTTTCCCAAAGCAGGCTACAGAAGGATTGTATTGAGAAGTTGAAGGCTCAGTAGGCAAGCATTATTGGCTCTGTGTATTAGGCCAACATGTTTCAAGGATGGATGCATATTCACCATGGGGTGACTCAGTGAAATGAGCATTTGCAGGGTGCTTTGAGTACATAAACCTACCGGAGCTTTTTATTGCACGGTACTGAGCTGTATTACATATTAACTTGCAGTAATAAACGTGGCAAAACCAGTTTTACAAGAGCTATTCAAAAAGATGTCTTGTACATTACGCAAATTCCCCATGTACTCTGATACTGCAGAGAAAGTTTGAATTTTGCATTTGTAGAGCATCATCTGCTGAAAAGCCCTGCACTTTTGTAGCCTGGGCATAAACTGTGGTGAGCTCAGCGTGTGTTCTGTGTTGTATAGATCTGTATTTAGGCATAGGTTTGAGAAGGAACTGAATGCTCGTAAGTGAATCCATTATAAAATTAAACAGTGACATCAGTTGGTGGCAATTTTTCTAGTAGATGTTATGAAATGATAGGGATATGAAGCTTCACTTGAAGCAGAAATGACTTAAAAGTGTGTTTAAAGCTGCTCCCAAATGACTAACAACTTCCTTTTCAAAAGGATGCTAACTATCAAACTACTATTGCAGTTAGGATGAATG